TAGTCTAATGGTAGCCAAGCCTGACTTTTGTTTTAAAGTAAATGGGTTCGATCCTCCTTGGCCACATACATTTTGTTCAATTATTTTCGGACCCCCGGTCTCGAAATCCTGGCTCCGCCCCCTGTAGGTGATCACTTTTATTTTATCTAGTCGTAACTCGATGTTTGTGAGATTGATTGCCTCACTATGAATACATTTTGATGGTTATCCAATCAAACATCACTTTGCTTAAGAGAACAAACTGAGCCTTCTGGTCTCTTGTCGAGGACATGTTAGCTGGCAAGTGATAGTATTGGTTCACATCTAACCAACAAGTTATCATAAGTTCCCCTTTTACTAATGGTTTTGGTCAAAAAAACCTAACATTTCTCATATGAGAATATCAGGGTGCATACATCCCAATTGCTCCACCACAGTATCTTAAGTTGATTCTCGTTGGAAATTGAGAATTTGCACTACGGGAAAAGTGACTTTTGGCAACACTTGTCTCGCAACACTTTTTAGATGTGTTGCATAAAATAAAAATATGCAACACTTTTATCATGTGTTGCTTAATATGTATCTTATGCAACACAAATTAGCAACACTTATTATTTTGTTGCATATCTCTTATAATATGCAACACTTGTGAAATAAAATAAAATGTGTTGCCTATTCTTACATTTTATGCAACACTTAATTAGAAAAGTTTACTAATTATCATGGTTCAAAAAGGCATACATTGTCTTATGCTCGGGCACGCTTAGACGCTAGACAACACAAAAACACATCACCTAAGGATTCCACGTACTATGAGTTAGGTATAAACAGTGCAATGAGAACTTTATCGCAAAATATGATATCGTGACACAACTATGTCACAAAAAAACTTAATTTTGTGAGCAAATTCCCATCACAAAGTTATAATTTGATTACTTAATTATTCCTTCCAAGTAGATATAAAAGCTCTTTGGTTTGATTAAGTTACACTTATTTTCTTAATGTATAAAATAATTTTGGTGTTTAATGCATAAAATATTAAGACTATTATAAGTATTTTTTTTAAACTATTATACGTCAATAAAAGGTTGTTTATGTAAAAGATAAGTAAACAAATGGATTTAGTTACGTTGTGAAAAAATGGTATTAATTAGCTGTACACGGAAAATCATCTAATTCCCTCTTAGACTAATATACTTACAGAAGGAAACTAATTAATAGTTAATCCCGGATTTTTCTCTCAAATATACATCTTATGCTTTCAACGAGTAAAAGCCCTTCAAATTCATAATCTCCTCCCTCCGTCTCTGTCCGGCTTCGCCTTCTCTCATGATTCCCAATCTTGGCCGCTTCTACGAAGTCTCGATCCAGATGCATAACCAGCTTCATTGAACATTTTCGGTAAATCAGCACGAGATCCTTTTTTTTTTTCTTGTTCCTTACACATCGATGCTACTCGACCCTACATTTTCCTCTCCCTTCTATTCATTTTTTCGGAATATTTCTATATTTTATGAAACAAAATCTCCAGTTTCTTGAGAAACTAAGAAACAACCATTGACATTTGTATTTCCTTGTTAACTGGTTATCTTCTTTTTCAGTTCTCTATTTTGGGGCTTTCCCATCATTGTGATTTACAGGTTTGAAGTAATTTTGGCGAGGTATTCATGTCAATAAACAAATTAAGGGCAGAGGGAGTTGCAAGTAGGGTTCCATTAAAAGGTTCTTGCACATTTAGTTGAGTAGCAATGAAGACGACATGGAAATAAACAACTGATAATTGACGCTCCCCAAGTACGCCTTAAGGAAGCGAAGAAGAGAAGTTTTGCCGTTTGAAAGAATTCCAAGGAGTTCCCAATTTATCTAAAGAGATTCAGAGTAGTTATTTTTGTTTAATACTGTTTAGTTAATATTCTTGAAGAGATTGATGTTCGTCAAAATATTTATTTTTTATTTTCATAAGTTATCTTTTATTTATCTTTTATACTTGTTACCAATATTGTCGTATGTGATATATAAAAAGAGTAGTCACAAATGTGTTCTTTCTTGAAAAGACCCCATTAGCTTCTAACAAAAAAAAAAAGACCCCATTAGTTAAAGTATAATTCGACTAACAAATAAATAGTGACCAATGTTGTTGCAATAGAAATAATAATTTTGTCACAAAAAGTTGAATTTGTGTCAATAACACTGTTACGAAAACCTCCTTTTATCACAAAAAAATCGTCAGAAGTGTGACTCATTTGTGACAACCTAAATCGGTGACCGTTAAAATACATTTAGTGACGGGAATAGCTTGTCATAAGTGTATAATATTTGTTACAAGTTAAAGTTGACACGATTGAATATGTTTTATGAGATGAAAAAATGGGTCACAAATAAAGCATCTACGTGTATGTTATACTAGTAAAAAAGTGTTGCCTAAAGTGGTGTTGCATATGGGTATCCATATGCAACACATATTTTTTTGTTGCAAAAAGTAAAAGAAATGTTGCCTATTACTTTATACAACACCACCTATAGAGGACACTACTAAAAATGTTGCATATTGTATAGGCAACACTTTAGGCACTTCTTGCAACACAATTGAAGTGTTGCCAAAAACCACTTTTCCCGTAGTGTTGTGTTTGTTATGAATCCCAAATGGGAAATTTGTTTGTGAAATTATTGTTTTGATGAATCACTTTTCCAACATTAAGGGGGAGAGAGAAAAAAAACAGCTCGACAAAGAGATGAGTTGGAATGAGTTATCATTATCTAGTTTTGATCCTCAAAGTAAGAAACATGAACCTGAAGTTCATAAGATGAATTATCATTACCAACTGTCAAATGTCTTTACTGACCATACAAAGTGTCCAAGTCATATATACTAGCTGTGAATGCTCCGATCCATTACTCTAATATAAAAAAAATATGTCTAAAAGAGCGCATGAAGCGTGATAGACCAATCGGTTCCAACGATAAACATCATTGAGAAAAAATGGAGTTGTGATTAAAATGGTCAACTCGAGGACATGAAAACTCAAGAAGAGTAACCAAGAAGTAAGTATTATTTTAGTTCCAGAAGAACACATGTTTTAGAAAGTTGTGAAAGGGAAGAGATCTCAAAAACATATTAGACTACAATACTGGAATTGTAATGAAGTCATTGTCGACGAAATTTGTTTGTTGTACTTCAGTACTGAATATGATATATAGAAGTGAGGATCAAGAGTAAAACTCTATTGATGCATGCAAATGATGATGTTATTGGCCAATATAGAAAGAAATCACGAAACTTGCTCAAAGAGCATAAAGTTTAAGGACCAGAAGTCCTTACACCTGAAAAGGGTAAAAATAGCGGGATACAAACAAATTTTTGTGCTATTGGAAAGTATGAAATTGTGGAGATATCGCACAATGTTTTGCAATGGGTTTCTCGAAGAGACCTATCATTGTTTAAGAGGAGTTATGCTCCCCTGTGGTGGATGCAACTACTTTTTCAAATCAATGTTTGAAAATTATTGTGATAGCCTATTTGTTTGAATTCCCTGAAGATATATATATTTGAAACTCCCAGAAGGATTAATTACTCCTAGAAGGATTAATTTACCTCAAGTAAACAAGTAAAGTTCTCGAGAACATATATCAATAGACTAAGAATATCCCTTGTATATGTATGGGTTGAGACAATATAGACGAATGTGAAATACTCATCTAAGTGAACACCTACAACAGTAGGGTGAATGGACCTTAAAAGTTTAAATCCGGATAGAGTGCATTATAGCATTTGCATATTATGCATATATAATTGTGTTGTCTGTATGTGCTTCAAGGATTTAAGTTTTTTGTTTATGTGTTCTGTTTTACTTTAAAGTATGATTTGTGTTTTATGAGTGTGCTTTGTCGAGTTCATATTATTTGTATGAAGTGAGTTTTGTTATTATCTTTCATGATATGAAAGAATTGTTTGCATCAATTATTTGTGACGATCTCATATTATGTTGATGATATGATTATTATTGGAGCTCCTGAAGAGCTTCCTAAAGCAGTTGATTGCTTAGAGATATAAGTTAAATTGAAGGATTTATTATCCTTTTATGGACAAGGAAGATAATGTTGAAAAAGTGGGAAAGTAATTTTGCATGAACAAATTGTGTTCATCAAATAACATTAGGATCCTAAGATCACTAGAAGTAATCAAAGATCCATTTAGACATCAAGAAAAAAGTAAAACATTAGGTCTTTAAGTACTATATGTTGATGTACTAGGTCCTGAAGTACCATATGTTGATGCATCAGAGCACCGATGCACCTTGCTACCCAAGCACCATATAAACGGGTTAACTGCATGGTTGGTCACTGAGATTACAAAAAACGTTCAAGTTATTTAAATCCATTGGTGGTACTTCAGTTTACTGAAATCGTTCAAATTTGGTCACTCTCCGTCCAACTCCGTTAACTTTTGCTTACGTGGCAGTCAACTCTAAAAGTTGACCGTTAAATGTGTGATGTGGCAATTAAAAAATAATTAAATAAATACTTTTTTTTAAATTTCCATCTCATTTCTATATATTAAAAAATTTATAAATTATTAAAATAAAATTAATACTTAAAATTGTAAAAAACAAAGTTTAATTTTTTTTATTATATTATAGCCACGTGTTTTGTGATGTGCCCACACCCGCACATCTTATCATCTTCCCTTCCTCTGTTCTATACTGCTCCCTTCATCATTTACATTTTCACCGCCATTATATTCTATCTATTTTCTACTCCCTATCTACTCCTTACCCTCCTTTGATTTCATTATGATTCTTGATCAGACGCAAGGCCCAGCCAAACGAATTGGGTGATCTAATCATCAATCCCCTCCAATTTCACGACCAGCTTATCCCCAATTTTGTTGATATATTCTGTTCAAAATCTCCGCCAACTTGTACGACCCTTCGAACTTCATTCGCCGCCATGGTTATCTGTTGATCGAACCTCGACGAGGACCTCGCCAAAAACAAAGAAGCAAATTCACCTGTTCAAGATCTCTACTCCTGCCGGGGGGACAGTTCGAAAAGCAAAAGGAAGAAGCAATATGCTGCGAGGAGCCTGCAAAAGTTATAGCAACGATTCCCGTATTCCAAAGAATCCTATATCACTTGATCTCCCTCCCATTCTCTTGTAGTTGCCATCTAACAATTGGCCGTTCTGATTTCTTCTTTTTGCATACCAGAAAAATCGCGCTCCAAAATATAAAAACCGCGCTCTGAAAAGAATTGTGTACCCTAACGCAAAACCAGAAACCTTCTTATAGCTAACCTAACCGCCCCCTGTTTCTTAGAGATCTGCGCCCGCATTGTCCTGCCGTTGGTGTAGCTCCGCCACCGCTTGCTCGGCGCCGAACGGACCGAGTTCACACTGATGCTGACGTGGCTGAGGTTGTACCAAGGGTCAATCGTAAAGGGAGGACCGTTGCCGCCGGTCTGGTTCGCGACGAGCCCGTTCCCCGGGCGCTGTAACTAGAAGAAGCGATGTAAAATGCCAGGCCGTCGCATGCTTCGGTACCGCTGTCGTTGTCGATGGCGAAGGTGAAAGCGGTGGTGAAGTTGGCGACGACGCCGGTCGAGGGTTCCACAGCCGCAGAGGTTTCGAGTACCTAGCTTGCCCTTGGGCAAAGTAACTCAACCCGGTCCGCTGAACCCCAACCGAAGCGACGAGGGAGGCGTTTTCGTAAAGCTCCATCGCGCCGTCACTGCAAAACCAGAACCCTACCAGGCCGATTAGCAATTAGAAGGAGCTAATTAGAAGGGTTTTGGTTTTGGTTAGCACTTAGCAACCACCGCCGCCGTTTGTGGCGAAGAATATGGCGGCGGAGAACAAGAGAGATCCTCGCCGTTCGTTCTTAATATTAATAATTAATAATTTTATTTTTAATAATTAGAAATGAGGTGGAAATTTTAAAAAATTAAATTTTATTTATTTAATTATTTTTTAATTGTCACGTCACACACATTTAACGGTCAACTTTTAGAGTTGACTGCCACGTAAGCAAAAGTTAACGGAATTGGACGTAGAGTGACCAAACGTGAACATTTTTAGTAAACTGAAATACCACCATTGGATTTAAATATTTCGAGTGACCAAACTTGAACGTTTTTTGTAATCTCAGTGACCAACCATGCAATTAACCCCATATAAACTATCATTTTGGTGTTGATAATATTAGCAAGATATAATGTTTCTTTCATTGGAACGTTCGAAAATACTTAGTTATCTCTGGGAACAATATATGAAATTGTTCTATTATGGTATTATCAAAAAGATATTTGGTGAACTATATATCCAAATCCTATATACCATTTGATCCTCATATTGGTTGATCGGAGACGAGCTATCTCTTACATATAGTGATATAACTGTTTCATAGAGAAACAAAACAAACTATAGTAGGCAAGTCCTGAATGTATTTCATGACACTTTGTGATTCACCATACCTAAAGGACTTGTGGTTGTGAACTATTTCCAAAGGAAATGATCCTGAAGATCATGTATGAAGAAAATCTAAAGATCGTGCAACAAAATTGACAATCTAGAAGATTGTTCACTAACTCACTCTCGACAACAATCTTTGTAAAAGTTGTTCCTGAAATTTGAGTTCAACGACTCAAAGATCCGAAATGATGTGGTCATGATGGGGAGCATAAACTGCACTCTTTTTCCCTTAACTATGGTTTTTTCCCACTGGGCTTTCCTGGTAAGGTTTTAACGAGGCAATATGAGATAGCATAATGCAATCTAGTGGTCATCCAAGGGGGAGTATTATGTAAATATTGATATATTGATGGTCATTGTCATTACCACATTAGAGACTCATTTGGGAGTTACATGTAACCCCTATTCCTACATTTGATAGCTCCTTTATGTTTCGTTATCTCTCATTAATATAAGGATGTAGTGGTTACAAAAGTGTGCCTATAAATAGAGCACACCATTGTATCAAAAGAGAAGAATGAATAAGAAGAACTCTTCTCCTCTCTTCGATCTCTTGTGTCTTTCCCTCTCTAATATTCTCTTGTAGTTGTTTATATTTTCCATTAGCTTCATAACAAAATCTACTTTCAGTAATCGACATCTCCAAACTTTTGAGTGTCCCTTGTCAATAACCCTGCACTTCATGATAGAAAGAAAATTATAGGATTTATACCTCTTGTAGGCTACACAATTGAGTTTCCTGAGACCAAAAGCGACTTGTCAATCGAGTAAGTCATGAAAACTCTATCTCTTCTCCTCGAAAGCAAGATGACTAGACGTGCTCCAACCTTTGTGAAAAATTATCATGTAGAATGCAATGGGAGGACTTGTCGGAGTGGAAGTTAGAAACAAACAATTGTTTGTTTGGTGGATTTTATGATAGATTTTGCATAATTATATTTGTGGTTATATTATGAATTTACCCATCTACCCTTACTATCCCTTATTTTTTGTTAGAAACAAAACAAAAGAGGATAAAATAGTAAATAAGCATCATAGACTTGAGACACCCACACAAATCCCACCCTTTGAGGTGGAATTTTCAAATTCGTGGGGTCCATGAATTTGCACCCAAAAAAATTGTGGGCCCCACAGATTTATCCATGCTAAATCCATCAAAGCAAACGAAAGATTGTGTACAAAGTCCATGATTATTGGTTTTTATGTACCAAATTTATGATGAAATAAGCGAACGACGGATTGTGCACCCTAAATCCATTAATCTTGTCAGGATTTACAATGGGACTGGGTTTGCATTTTTTTTCTAAAAAAAAAGTTTTATCCTCTCGTCCTCTTCCTTGGGATTAGTGATTAAGTGGGAAAGAGAATCGTTTCTTCTTTACCTTTCTATCAGTTATTATTATATAGTTAATCGATGAGCATCTCAAATATTAAGAAGCTCAACACATGGCAGTAATTAATTGGTCGGGCACCACCTCAACCTTCCTATTTGGTACTCCCGGACCACTGAAGAATTTCTCCTAAAAACGTTACTAAAGGTATCATTTGTTGTAGTGTAATTTTGGCCACCCAGGACTGCTGGTTGTTAAAACTGCAGGACTGGTAATCTATGTCAACTGGGTTTCGAGAGTATAATTAAACCTGTCAAAACATAAATGTGCAATCGATAATCCAAACCAACACGAACGAACATAAATTTAATGTGGTTCACTAACACAATGTGTGCTAGCTAATCCACGGGCAAGGGAGACAAATTTCACTGATTTGAGGAGAGTACAGGTTACAAACCAAATTCCGGAACGGACAAACCAAACAAACTAACCTGACTGACCTTACTACAGACTAGGATGATGAATAGTATCTATAGAACTCTTCTCCTAATCCCAAATAGAAAACCAAACAGAATAGGCCTAAAACATAAAACAAATGCAAATCAAATTCAAGTCATATTCTAACAAAACCCATATATATGATGCATGTGAGATACGAAATGTTAACTCCATTCTCTCTCGATTATGAGCTCCCATTTTCTGCGTACGAATCAACCTCTAGCTAGCTACTTAATATAACGGTAGGGAGAGAGCGAAGTACGTACGTAGACTCTTCAGTCTTCACAATACATTGAAAATTGAACCACACAAGAGTTTAAAAGAGCTGCAATTAAGCAATTAAACTATCTCCGCTAGCAAAGACTAATTAGTATTGCAGCATTTGGGAGGGTTACGTCGTCGATAATGTTTGGCCGGACTTGAGATACTGGAATTTGCTGCCAACTTCATCCCACGTCGCAGCTCATAACCATTAATCTCTTTCCCAACCTTCCGATTCTCAGCTAATCAAATCGAGGAAAATATATATATATATATATATATATATATATATATATATATATATATATATCAGAGAGAATCACTTAGAATCATGCTATATACTGGGAAGAACAAATTCTGTTGTCGATCCAAAAATGGGTTGTATAGGTAATAGGTAACTGCTTACTGATGGTGAGTTGAGGGAGATGATCATTAGGAAGAAGGCGGTGAGCCGTGGAAGTATGAGACGATGAGATCAAGAATACTGTGATGAGCAGAAACAAGCAGCTCACTGTTATCCAACCAGCATTCATCTTCTTGCTCATCATATTTGTGCTCAGGGAAGTTAAACAACAGCGGCTTAATTTTTCACTTAAGACAGAATCTTTCAGCACTCTAATATATAGAGAGAAGGTGGCCGCTTTGCAGAAAGCAGCTCTTCCCACTTTGCAAATATTTAATTTATTGCAGCCAATGGACATCTAATGTTTGTTTAATCTTCTTTGTGCAACGTTCTGCTGGATATTAGATCTTGTTTTACAGATGAAGGTGATCAAGATTATATATATTAATCAGACCAAACAAAAGGGTCCCAAAGGTGAACACGAGGAACACAAGAAACAACAGAAGTGGCGGAAGCCCAACTCCACTAAAATGTGTATGTGAATCATAAGGGCAAAACACTTTGGTTTTAAATGAAGGTTGATGTTATTAGAGAACGGAATTAATTTTTTTTAAGAATCATTAACATTTGCGATACAAACATACTTTTCGATTGAATTTTTTTTTTCAAACTTCTTGACACACATTACTAAATCTATGATAACGAAATCAAACATTGTTGGTCATCCAATATCCCTAACGAAGCTAATGATATTTCATATACAATTAGGTGCTAAGTCATTGTGTGTGTAAGCTTGTATATGTAATGAACTTTAAACTTGAACAACTAACATATTGTAATAGATTTGGCAAAAATAAAGCCTGCTGATGAAGTAGAACATGAAATTCTCTCGTTCTGTTGTGTGAATAGTGGCCAAACTCATTTAGCTACTTTAATTCATTAGCAATGAATGTTACTTGGGCAATGGTTGGTTTGGGGTAATCGAAAGATACTGAATATAGTAATTCTCATTAAGGAATATCAATTATTCCATATAACAATGTCGATATGCATATTAATTAGTTTTATCCCTAGCTAATTAGTAGTGATTTAAATTGGTAGTAATTAATCATTACTTGGAAAGTCAGTGACCAACCACAAAGATTGTAATATATAAAATAATGCTCGTACCTAGAAGTGGAAGTTTGGTATTTGTATTTGCGATATACACCAAACTTATCATTATTTGGTATTGTCTATTACCGAGTGACTCGGCTTTACCGTCACACTGGAAAATGGCCAACTGCAACCACCTACTAGTGCGTAGTATAGCGGGTTTGGGTTTTAATGTCAACCCGGGTCCTAAGTGTGATGACTACTCCGTGAATTCTTATTATTTAGCAGTGAAAGTGTTGTTAAGGTGCAAGTAAACAAACAAGCAAAGCAGTAAAAGGTTGTTTTCAAGTTGAGAGAGGTCACCCGGATATGGTTCCCCCTACACTGCAGTTAAGTCAGATTGTCATTTACCAAGTTCGAATTCAAAGATAGTTATACTGCGGGAGGTTCTTAAACAATCTGCAGTCTCGACTAAAGGTCTCCAGACCCTCTCAATCTGAGTCCCTAGCGGGTGACTAACCTCCAGCGGAGTAAACAGATTGAGGCCCTAACAAACCAAACCTCCTCTACCGAAGTAAGTCCAGTACAGAATAGTGAACTGACTCCTCAACTAAAGTCGTCAATTCACTACCTTCAATCAAGGGTGCTCTATCAACCTAGGCAAATATTCTCTTTCTAGGTCAAAGAAGAAACAATAGGAATTTGATCAGGATTCATGGCAT